TTTAATGACTGTAATTGATGGTTGTCAAGACGTTAAAGAATGCAAATCTATATCATGCGTAGTCTATCGGGAGATGTGCTCGGTTACATTTAAATGAAATTTAATCATATAATAATAAAATAACATATTACATCAGTTATAGTATTTGTTAATCCTCTCATTAATACTAGCTAAAATTCTGAGAAATAAAATTTCCTGAAAGAGGTGCACAATAAATATTTATAAATATTTATGCTTTTATAGTCATATTCCCACAAATTATGAACTATACTCCAATTAAATAAAGTCATCCAATTTGTAATATGCGATATCATTGTACACAACTTGTAAGTTAAATAAAATTTATTGCAAGTGGATTGAAATTTATTACAGTCGCATTTGATATTTAATGTATGATTTAAATATTAATTTGTATAGAATTTACTAAAATTATAATTTTACAGTTTATAATATATTATACTATCTGCTAAATTATAACATAAATTCAATTTTTCTTAAACATAAAAGTATAATACATACTATAGGATTTAATTAATATATTTCAAAAAAGATAATTTTCAAAACCATTTTTTAGATGCTTTACATGTAGAAAGAAACTACTTTTGCACAACATTTGATAAATTGTTTGGAAAAGAAGCGATTCAAATATGCAAATGCTTGCTCTAAATTTTTTTATGTACACTCTTGGCGGTATATGGCGACCTGTTGACTGGTCATCAAATGGTGCCAAGCTACTGTATAATATATTTACCTTTATTATAATATCTTCGGAATATTTTTTGCTGTTGACTCAATTTATGGATATAATTTTTGTTGTCAATAATGTCAATGATTTTGCCACTAATGCTCTAGTTTTTTTGGGTGTTGTTGCCGTCTGTTGTAAAACGACTGTCGTTGTAGTACGTCGGAATGCAATCATTAATTTAGTGCAAGTATTGCTAAAAGCACCATACAAACCTCGAGATGAAGATGAAGTAGCAATACAAACAAAATTTGATAAATTCATCAGGTGAGTTCATACCTTTATTAAAATGTCCCAATATTAAAATATTAATGTTATTTAAAAGTTTAATTTGTTTACGTATAGTACATACCGTTTTTATATTATCAAAATTTTATCGTCGGTTATGTCAATAACAAATTTAATTATTTTTTATTTTTTCTATGTTTTGTTATCATATGTTTCAGAACGTTCTTATATTTTTACAATTTTACAAAAATATATAGTAATTTTCCATTCTCTGTCTAATAAACTTTTAGAAGAAGTTTCTAATTCTAATATCATTTTAATTTATAGTAATAAATCACGTAACACAGTACAAAATAATTAAATATAATACAAATTATGATTTTAAATTTTGTTAAATTAAAAGTACTATAAAAATAGTTATGAAAGTTGATATAAAATTGCAGATCATGCTCGATAAAATATTCACTTTTGGCAACAAGTTCCATTACAGGCGGTACAATAGGATCAGTATTAAGCGTTATGCAAGGTCACTTTCCTTATCGAATGTGGCTGCCATTTAATTACAATGTATCTTCGATGTTTTGGATTATATCCATTCATCAAATGGTAACTACAATTTTTGCCACCATGATAAATGTTGGTACGGAAACCCTAGTCTTTGGATTGATTTTACAAACATGTGCCCAGTTTGAAATATTTGAAAGTCGTCTTCATAAATTAATAATTAATAAAACAATTAAATATCTGGGACATGCAAGCTGTTTGTCGAATAAAAACGAAACAGGTCTATCGGAGTGCATACGTTATCATCTTAGTATTTACCAGTAAGTCATTTAAGAATTTATTTTTATGTGTATATATTTTTTAAATACACATGTACATATATAGTTAATAGTATACAGAGTGCTCGGTAAGTTTTGACAAAGTATTCGTATGCAAATAGACTAAACTGAGTCGAGAGGTTCTATCATTTTACAATTTTCGAAATAATAAACGAAATATTAATTTCTAAAAGTTACTAAATACTCGAATAAAATTTATAACGAAGTAAATTAAATTAATATCCGCTCAAATAAATTTTCAAATTAAATTTAATATACCTCCCAGGTCAAGAACACATTGAGCTTATACTAGATGTTAGAAATATATATAAATTTATTATAATACCGGTATATACGGACAGTTTCGACTTTACAAAGTCCTCAACAGCCGCAACCGAATACTTTAAAATTAATTTAGTATATTGCGAAGAATATTACAAGTTGGCGTTTCGTCCCGGCTTCCACTACTGGACTCATCAGTAAGGTAATGTAGTGGGAGCCTACCTTAGACGCCTGTTTTAGTTCTTAAATCGAGATTCTATATATACAGATATGCGCGTATTTCAGCACTTGCGAGAAACTTTACGAACATCCATAGACCTCTGCTGGCAAGTCGACGTAGTAATATTCTTCGTAATATTTTTTAAGTAATAGACGTTGAAAAGTTCCCCCAAATTGCGCGCCGAACACAGCCGGTCTTTAAAACGCAACTATAATAATTTGAAATAAACTCCCCTTTAATTATTTCCCCACAATTTGGGGGAACTTTTCAACGTCTATTACTTAAAAAATATTACGAAGAATATTACTACGTCGACTTGCCAGCAGAGGTCTATGGATGTTCGTAAAGTTTCTCGCAAGTGCTGAAATACGCGCATATCTGTATATATAGAATCTCGATTTAAGAACTAAAACAGGCGTCTAAGGTAGGCTCCCACTACATTACCTTACTGATGAGTCCAGTAGTGGAAGCCGGGACGAAACGCCAACTTGTAATATTCTTCGCAATATACTAAATTAATTTTAAAGTATTCGGTTGCGGCTGTTGAGGACTTTGTAAAGTCGAAACTGTCCGTATATACCGGTATTATAATAAATTTATATATATTTCTAACATCTAGTATAAGCTCAATGTGTTCTTGACCTGGGAGGTATATTAAATTTAATTTATAACGAAGAGTTATTTTGAATCTAAAGATATTTTAATTAATTTTCTTTAAAATTAATAAATAATTAATTGTTACAAGTTCGAAAACAGAATATATTATTAAAGTAATTTGATTATACAGCGATCTCGGATATTTCATATAAACTTGAACATGTTCTAAGTCCACATAAAAAATATTATGTAAACCTATCAGTTTCCGAAGTACATTATTATTAAAAATTATAACAAAAATATAAAATGTGTACAAAATAATTTACTTAATTTTAAATTTTAATAGTCTGCCCGTATCAATAAAAGCTTGACATCGATGTAATTTTGAATTTATAACCTTTTTAGAGAAAATCTCTTTATAAATGTGTCCTTATCCATTAACGTGGACGGACGAGACTTTGATGCAAAAGTAAAAATTATTTCTTACTTGCTTTTCACACAGTAAGACGTATAAAATTTGAGTTACAATTTTTAGTAAATAATTATCTTCTTTTATAATGTAAGTGTTCATTATTTGGTTTGTTTTACATTTGTTTCATTATCAATTTTTTGACTTATGCAGTTTCATCCTACATATACAAATTTGACGGCATGATATCAATATATTGGCTCCGTGTATTTTAATTTTGACTAATGGACTGGAAATTTCATTTGGATTAATCTTTCTCGCCTAAAAACGAAGAATGGATTATAACAGGTTTTTTCATCGTTCGAGTAAATTGACTACTACCATCAAACATTGGAGCGATTATAACGTTTCACAAAATTTTGCGACTGTCAGGATGTAATTTATATATTAGAGAATTTGCAATTGTTATAATTTTGACTTTTTTTTTTGCGTCTGTGATATGTAAGCGTATTAATTAGATTGGGGTTTTTTATGCGGCTGAGGATGACTTTGTAAAGTCGAAACGTTCCGAGTTAATTTTATTGATTGTAATAAATTTATTGAATAGTAACAACAAATATAGCTCATTATTTATTTGACCTGAGAAGTATATTTATTTTTTATTATTTCTTACACATTTCATAGTTTTTTAAATAATGTATTTAAGAATTATACGTTTATGTATATTTTTCTGTGATTTCGGTTAACAGAATATTCCGTTAAGGGAATCCTTAAGACAATTAATCATATTAGAAATAGCACTTACACACAGACGATTACGTGTCATTGACACATCACTACATCAATATCTTACTTACGCACGCCACACATATACGTAGATTTTTGTATCGTATTTTTGTATGTTTTAATTAGACATCTAAATCTAATTTTAAGAACTCCACGCTGTTTCTTCATGCAAACTAGAGTCCCTAGAAGTAGAGAATCTGGACATTCAGCAAAACTGCTCTCAAAATGGCGGCAAATATATGTGTGTGTATGTGTTACTGAAGTGATTGTGTTGTACACCCTTGCCGGATACATTCTTTCCCGAATTTAAAAAAATAATGTAGTATGTGATTTATGTTTGAATTTCGCAGGATCTCTGACATATTATCCAACTTTAAAATTCGCACAATATTGTTTTATTGAAATGTTATCGACGTAATACATTATTTTTCGTCTATAATGCAACATTCGAATATTTTCATCGGATGGAAATTATTATTAGGCAATATGTTCCATATCTTAAAACTAATTTTGATGCAAATAAATTTGATTCAATTACTTTTTTAAAAGAAAAATGTATTGTGTTTCATGTGACGCATTAAAAAATTGTCATGATATAAAAAATAAAATAATGATACGTTTTATCCGACTTTGACTTCAAATAGAAAATAATAAAACCCCTTTACCGATTAAAGTATAGAGTCATTCGGGGTAAACGCGCGCACTTTTTGTTTGACGTTTGATTAATTAAAAATGTGCAGCCTTTAATGAACAAAATATGACTCTTTGTAGCTTATTTATTATACTTCTTTAAAAAAATGACAATTTATACCCAATTGTTCTCATATTTTCACAAGATTAAAAATTATCCCGAAGAGACGAATGCGTCCACTTGACCCGTATTGCGGGTAAACGTGCGCATTACTGCGGGGTAAATAAACGCACTTAGGATAAGTGTGCAATCAACATTTTTTAAGCTATTTTTGAGCATTAACTTTAATATAATATACGTTACAGTTTTTCCAGAGATTTTGGTAGAGATATTCTACCAAATGTATATCACATTTAAATCAACATTTTTTATTATAACTAAAATATAACTAAAATATAAAAAATCGGAATCAATATCATTTAGAACAGTCTTGAGGGTAAGTGTGCACATGTGATTGAAGTTATGCTGATATCATTACCATTGAGGTTAGTTTACGCGGCTAGAGACGCAGCTAAGTAGATATACGCATGCGTACACTTGTCCACGTACACTTGACCCAAAGTCAATGTTTTTAAAAACTAAATCTTAGTACTAATAATAGCCAATATAACCTTAAATATTGTTACGCAATATAAACTTACGTTATTATACTATGTATAAAACATGTACACACCTATCTTTTCTTCCTTAATTTGACGTAACACACTTTTCCAGCAATCAAAAATCTATCGATGTTACATGCTGTTTTATAATTATGCGTATATTTATTTGACTACTGTGCATAAAGTTCCAGCTCTACTGTTTAATTTTAACTGGCATGCAAGCGTCACTACTCGGCTGACAGGAACTAACTTCCATCTTCTCCTCCCGTTAAGATATAGACAATTCGCACACTTACCCAATGCGCGCGTTTACCCCGAATGACTCTACAATAGTAAAACTATGACAATGCATGCAATGGTACGATAATTCAAATTATCATCAATATACATACATAATTATATGTATAATAATTTAATTATAATGTAAAAATTATAATGTAAAAATTTTGCATAAAAAATTTATATTTTCCAAAAATCGAGTATTTTATTTTAATAACGAAACTTCCGTCCTTTTACATATGTATAATAGTTCAATTATTATAAATAAAAGCAATAAGCCTTACAGTTCATGTTATGTGTTCTATAGATTTTTAATAGTGAATTTTAAAACACAATCAGTATATTTTACATACATTGCAAATTGCATCATATGTACATACATACACTGAATCTTTGACGAAAAATATATTTCTCAATTTTTTGAGAAATACACGTGTACGTCATTATTTTTGTGGTACTACTATAAATTGCGAGTAGAAGGTATATTTCAATTCTAATTTTCCTTCCGTTCGCGCTGAGTGAGCAAGGTTCCGTATTGGTGCTGCCATTGTGAGGGCACAAGTCACGTGCACCAATCATGCCGAATCCCGAATGTCCAGACTCTCTACTTCTAGAGACTCTAATGCAAAGAGTATAACTAGAGTGGCAAAACCATCCCTGCTTAAAATTTTCTATAAAAAGCTATAGGAACATATAGAGTTTGTATACGTATTTATAGTTTTTAATAGTTTCTACAGTAGCGCACGAGAGCGACTATAGAAGCTCTACAGTTATTAATAAGATTCTATGAGTATAATAATAGAAAACTATTGCGGATTGGGATTTACCGATTCAAAACGCTCATTAAAAACTATAGAATTTTCTTAATAGTTTTCTATAGAAAATTTTAAGCAGGGATAGCAACTCCAATGTACGATGTTTCTTAAATATGGTATGCTAATTGGGGAAATGTTATAGGCGATAGAAAGAGAAAGCAAATAGGATGTCCCTATCTTTATCCTTTTGTTTAATGTGGGGAGTGACAGCGATTGAACCTTTGACTATATACCTCTGGACTGCTAACGGCAGCCATTACTGGAATCCAAGATCTCAGAGCCATCAGGTCCGGAAGTTGGCCAAATCAAGAACTAACTAGCT